TACTTTCCGATGCACAATCTGTGAATTGTTAAAGGATTACAGACTCCCTGTTTGCATGGAGAGAAAAGTCCAGTAAAGGGAATATAGTGCTGCAAGTGGTTTGTGAGGTAGCTCCAGTGAAACGGCTCCGAATCAACAAGGGAAACACATTACTGGTCTGAGGTCTAATAACCAGTACAGCATGTGAAGGAAATATCCTAACTTCCAAATATTGTTAACATCTAATGCAAACTGGGCAAGGCTTAGAGGGGGAATACATTTACAAAGAAAATTCGTTTAAGGTATTTTTATTTTACATGACTCAATGAGAAAAAACAGCAGCCTACCACTTGCAGACAATATACAGTAATTGCTTAAGTGTTGCCTCCATCCCTCTGTGTATGAAGAGGATGGCATCTACAATAGGGAGGGGTGGGGGTGGCGGGGGTGGGGAGACAGACAGCGTTTATTGAGGTTGACAGATTAGTCCTTGCTTCTTGGAAAAAGACTGATGCTGCTTGGCATAACAGGCGGTACCGTGGGGGATGCACGACACTTGCCCATCCCCATGTGCCCCACGCTACCGTCAGTCCCCACCCCCTTCTTTTGCTTTTCCTGTCTCTACCAACCCCCCTCAATGAATAGATCCTTCAGCAAAGGAACCACATCCATGTAGGCTCACTGAAAGCATGATTGAGACAGTTAGAGGTGATGGTACAGATTTTGTTTTTAAAAAGTGAGTCACAGTGGGGGTGTGTAGAGCTCATCGTGCAATGCTTGAAGACAGTGAATGGGAAAAATGTATCTGACCCCTGTGTTTCTCTGAGACACAGGTTGTCAGCATCACTCCACTTGCTGACAGTTGATTGCCGTCTGCTCTCGAGAAAGTGCCTAAACATGTGGAATCCATTATATGATATATGAGCACTAAACATATTACCCTAAATAATGAATGAATCAGGAATAAATACACTTGCTCCAAGGATCCAACCCCCCTTCTACTGAGTTGCATTCCTTAAGGAAGACTGTTTAGGACCATCCCTCATGCACTGGCTCTACTGGGAGCCACCACCAACCCCCTTCCCTCCATACACACACCCTCAAACCCCCCCAGTCCCTCCCTTAACCCTCAACAACACACAGCCACACGTCCCTGCTGTTCATGAATAATCCAGGCGGGCCAACAAGCTATTGCACTAAGCTTTGTGGGGGAAGAAGCCAGAACAAAAGACAGGCATCTCACACAGCAGCTAAGGCTGAGAAGACTCGGATGAGACGACAGTGGTAGCTAGTGTCGGTACAGAACGGAGCAGGAGGCGAAAACCTCAGAGTAAATCACATATCCAGGCGCCTGTTCCTGTCTCTGTGCGGCCAAATACCAGAGCTGGGAACCTTGCCTTCTTGCTTTCATCTGCAGAGCAAAGAAATAAAGACAGAGAAGCTATCCTCTCATCTTTCTCTGCAGATGTTTGGCTTGCAAAAAGCACACAGGACTGGTGAAAAAGTAGATCTCTTTTATGAGCAATTTTTCTCTTTTCACCAAATAGCAGGGTTAAGAACCCTATTTAACCTCAAAGATGAGCAGCTGAAGTTTTACAGGGGACATCACCATTGGGCCCTTTGTCCTGCTGAGCCCTCTACCAAGGTTTTTCTGTTCCAGTCCAGTTCACACCTTAAAACAGCTTGAAAGTATTTGACATGGCCAGACACATAGGGCCTGGAGGAGCAGATGTGATGGGGCTGAGGCCACAGAGGCAGTTATTGTAAAGCCTGTACACTCCATGGGGGTCTACACTGACAAGGTGATAAGGATTGTTGTGTTCTGGTGCCATTTGAATGCTCTGATTGCATCTGTTCAATGACTAAACTTCACTTATATCATGATAATGAGAAGTATTATTGTGTCTTTTATGAAGCTGCTTGACTTCATTAAACTAACACCTGTTAATACTACACTTCGATAGTAGTATTAAACTAATTCATCATATGCTTGTGTGTGTCTTAGGGTAGCAGAACATGATCACCATCTCCACATGTGGATATAAATATTACTTCAATACAAGCATAACATCTAATGGTTTAAAAACACACTTAAAACTAACTTGTTCTCACTGCATGCAGTTTGTTGCAGTCTTAGAACCAGAGCTTGTGTGTATGTACACATGACTCACCAGCCCTTCACCTGGAAATACTGGAAACATATTTTTCTTTGAGCTTTTAATAGCTGTGTCTGGCCAGTTTGAGAACTATAAAAACTGCCCTGTGTGTACTTTTGTAACTCATTTACAATTGTACATTTCACAGAACTTGACTGATAAAGCCTCTTTCTGGTGACATAAGGCCTAAACAATTGTTGTTGCTACTGGATACCTGAATTTCCCTCGGGATCAATAAATTATCTGTCTATCTATCTATCTATCTGTCTGTCTGTCTGTCAGCTAGCTATTTGACTTCCCTCTCTGCATGGTACCCTGTGGGAGTGTGAGGCTTCCTTTACATGCAGCCTCAGGGAATTAGACCGAAGCTCAATATGGAGATTCCTGTGACTCAGCATTGAAATCTACACCTACTGCATGACCGACAGCAGCTTCAGGATCACAAACCTATTAGCACAAGAGGTGTCACTGATTAAATACATCAGAAGTCAGAGTTAATTTCATCAGGCTGGATGGGATGATGGCGATGATGAAACAGGCGACTTTGCATAAAATGCTTCTGGTGATTAGTGCATTGTGCAGTCACTTTATAAAGCTGTATCCTTCTCATTGTTCAGACTATGGCACAGTTCAGCTGGTCCTTGTTGTTGGTATGCAGCATAAATATCAAAGACTGAGCTGGTAATATGATAGCGGGCATGCTGTGTCACTCATTTTTGTACAGTTTATATACCACTGACTCACTCATTAAAGCCATACTGTGTAACTTTTGAATAATGCATTCTCCTCTTATAAATAAAAAGTTGAACACGAGCAATTAAAAAACACTTTAATTTATTACACTCAAGTTTCACAGCCTCAGCCTTACTTGATGTGATAGGACCAGAAGTGCATGGTGGCTAATCATAGCTAATGTTAGCTTCAACTAGATATTGTTGTGTGATATCCACTCAGTTTATTGACTTATTAATACTGTTACACTGAACTGTAGCATCAACAGTGCACTTTCAGGGCTAAGTCTGAGATCCTAACATTAGACAGAGAGGCTCCCTCTTAAGTCCCGAACTGGGAACGAATGGGTTAAATGACATATGGTTATGAAGCTTGAGAAAGAAGCTGTGAATAACATGGGGATGACCTCTGAACAGTCTGACCTGAGTGACATCGATTAGAATCTGAATGTGAAGTGTGCACAGTGGCATGGATGGGGGTGACAGGCAAATCTAATGCAGGGCTGGAGGGGGCTCACACTACTGACATCGACTCAAAGAGGGGACATGGTGGCACTCTTGCAATGCTAAATGTATAAATGGTCACTTCCACCTTATCACAAGTTGGTCTTTGTTTAGAAGGACTCTCATTTTAAAAACCCATTAAAATGCAATTCCTTGGCATCCCTTTGACTACACCAATAATCCCATTTTAGAGATTTGCTACTTCTAATTTTGGTCAAAGCAGCTACAACTTTACTACAAACTAGTAGGTCCCGGGGATATCCTGGCTCACTGTGATGCCTTTTTGGTTGATCATTTCTAATAAACATAAATCCCCATATACATTACCACTTCACGTGAACGGTCAGGCATAAGTAGGTCAGAATAAATGGTCAGCTGTGTGTTTCAACTGCCCATGGCCATGTGGACTGCTTTGTGTTTTGTGTTGACATGGCTGAGCTTATGCACATGAAGGAAAGTTGGAGGCTGATGGGGGTAGGGTGAACGGCATGTGTTGGGTTTTAGTAGAGGAGGAGGGGTGTCGAGGAGAGGAGCTGTTCGCTGGCTCTGTGCTGCAAAAAAACAGCTTATGGCTTTGCTGCATGACCGGGCATTTGTGACAGCTATAGTCGTGCCTGACACATCTGCCAGTGGCACTGTGCTCTCAGCCGGTCAGCTTATAATCAATCACTTACAACTGATAACTAAAGAGGCAGTTTGAAGTCCACCTGACATTTGTTTTCATTCAGCCCTGCAGTTAAAAATGGCTGTGCTTTGGCCTGAGGTGGTGCCGCAAGGTCTGCTACAAAAAAGTAAAAGAAAAATCTGAGCTATTTGCAGCCATCTCACATTAAGTATTACTTATTAGTAAGCATGTATTCATGCTTGTGAAGGATGGGTGATAATCAGCAGGCTCCTCCTGAATCTAGGCTGTTCCATCAACAAAAGTAAACTGTCCACTCTCAGGCTGAAACACAGGTGCAGGTGGTGTAGAAGAGGGCCGCTGTCGAATGCGTTTTAAAGAACATATTACCTGGAGGTTAATGACTTTCTATGTTGAACTGTCCTTTTAGAGAAAGTAGGTTTTTGGGTCATTTTATGCAACAGGTTCTGACAGAGAGATATATAACTGAGCTGGCTGGTTTGTTGCTAGGGAGCCACAGACAGTCTGTGACAGAAGAGGTGAATCACCCAAGAGAAAAAGCTGTCTACTATACAACTGTTGTGTACAGCGTTTCAGACAGGCTCCTCCCGTGACCAGACAGGTCATCATCCCCGACATGGGAGCTACAGTACACTGAAGCCTCTGTGATCGGTCCAAACAGGACATCATTTAGTGTGTGAAAAAACAAACGCCACTGAGTTGAGAACGCTCCCAATGAGTTTCAACAAAAGAAGTTGCTCATGTTGGTTTACTTTTTCTAGTGTTTTTCCACTTTGAGATGACAATGGATCAGATCAGGCTACATTCTGGGAGAGATAATTACATAAGGTTCAAATCAGCAATGCTGGCAGATATATTCATAGGCTAAAAATTTGAATGACTTGGCTTTTGTAAACAAATTGAGAACCAGGTTGGTATTTGTACATTTTATTCTAAAGATACACTACCCTTATAATTTCATACATTTTGTTTATTTGTCTTGGACAGTACATAAAGATCCCAGCACCAACACCTGAATCTCCAGATGGATTCAGAGTCTTTTCCTTCTACCTGTCCAGTGACAGCAAAGACAAGCCTCAGTCCAGCTTCGACTGCATTCATCAGTATGTCTCAGGGTAAGAGGCACACATAACTCTCTCCACGGTCAAACGCAAATGGAATTTGTAACAAAATTCCTGTCAGACTGAGGCCACAAAGCTTTACCAAACAGCAGCCTCTAACAACAGACAGTCCCACTGTTAGGCTATATATTTATAAGGCTACGGTAACAGTCCAGGCTTTCATGCCATGACTGCCCACAAAGGTGTGACCAGTAATAATTGAAAACAGAGAGGTAGTGTTTGTAGCTATGTAGGGTCAAAGGCCTGGTTAAAAGGGTACACTAGTGCTGCTTTATTTGCATTTATAACTGAACACTTGTTATGAACAATGCTTTATGAAACAGGACTAGAGTTTTCATGCAGAGAGAAGTCACAGAACCAGTTTTGTGCATGTCAGGCAAGACCGCATATCTCTAATGCTGTTTGACAAATGAGAAGTTAATTGAACTAAGCCAGAAAACTCGTAGCCCTAAATACTAAATCTTATTACTTTTCTTCTCTGCTCCACACAGCGAGGGCAGGGATCACCTGGAGGGCCAGGGCAGCATTCAGGACAAGATCACCATTTGTGCCACAGATGACTCCTACCAGACGACACGGGAGCGCATGTCTCAGGTGGAGAAGGACATCTGGAGCCGCTCAGCAATTGAGATCAAGCCTGGGCCAAGTAAGCTTTAGCCTAATAGTTTATAATTGCCATATGGTGTGGAAGTTATCAATTAATTGATCAAAGTGCTGTGTTGCAATTATTCATGTGAGAGGAATGTCTCTCACTCTTGTAAATTTCATTTTGACCAGATTGTTTAGGCACTGTTCCAGCCTTCCTGCCTGCACCACTAATGTGATTGAGCTTGCCAGAGGTACATGCGCTAACAAGTCTCATGCTAATGACGTTTTGCCTAAAATGTAATTACACTGGATTTTCATTAGCTAAAATATTCCAAAATATCATCTAAAAAGGAGGCCACACTTAACCTGGACTCTTACATGCAGGATCTCCCCCTTGCACTTCATTTTCATGATTCACTGCATTTTCCTTGCCAGAGCTGCGGCTTTAGTCTTTCTCGATTAAATTGACCATGATGGATCTTTATAAATGATCTAGCCATGAGACTTCATGACACTTATAGGTCCCATGTGAGTTTAAATGCTTCTGTAATTGTATTTTATGAATAGAAACATGCTGTGTAGACCAACGCTACAACATCATGTTTAGGGTAATTGCTGTTGAAACCAGATGAGGACAAGGGGCCAGTAGAATTTCTGGGTTTGCCTGCTGCATGCCCACTCTTAAACCAGGAAAGAGCAATAGAGTCCTACTCCACTTTTCCACTGTACTTCACGCTGTGATGGTCGCTGTTTAAACGAGAGAGAGACTGCGCTCCTCTTACATACACTCACAGCAGAGCAGAGGACGTGAAGGATCGCTCCACAGTGCAACAATCAGCCAGTAACAGAGACTGTACGAGCCGTTTATCAAACAGCTGTTCAACAAGCAGAACACAGACCTGCAGAAATGCGACATCTTCACTGTTTTGTTCGTGGTCCGCTCACTGAAGTCCCTGTTTTACCTCTACACCAGTAGAAGTCCCTGTTTTGCCCCTGAACCAATAAGTGAATGTCTGTCATGTCCATGATTTTTCTTGAATAACTTTCAAACTAATAATGATATCAGCATCAGTCCAAATGCCAGCAGCAGGTTTTCATGGTCAAGCAATCATATGAGGGTCAAACCATCATGGGAATATTGCTTTTATGGCATTATGTGAAAATTGAGTTGCCCCTTGACAGAGGTTTGCACTAACTTAGTGCTGTCTAGTTATTATTCTCTCACACATACACGCACACAATCCGAGTCTTAAGAAGACTGACAAATTGCAATGAACCAAACAATTGACTTAAATACAGATGACTATAGTGTTTTTCCTGTTGGAACAATCTTGCAACCAAGTTGACGACAAGTCAGACTTTAATGATAAATTAGTTTTAATGATAACATTTCAAATGGTAAATACTAACCCTCTTAAAATTTTACCACAGTTTACGGTGAAGCCAGTCATGGTTTCATCCCTAGGGAACTGTCCTTCCCTTCCTTTGGACACCAGACAGTGAAATAAATTGGCTCTGGATCACAATGTGTGTCATAGCTGTATCTACATACAGGTGTACATACATGTTTTGAGGTGTCTTTTCATGGTACAGTAATGCTTTACTCATCAGAAAAATATCTATACGCCAACTCACAATAACAGGCCATGGAGTAGAGAAATGTACACAATTTGGATAATAGTGTATGATTTAACATTCGGTCAAATTCACTAGAAAGGAGGCACATGATAACAAAATAAGTTCCACCGAGTTATGAAATCGTTATCAGTAGTTTCCTCTACGTCATTGAGACATTATTGACAATTGCTTTTTAACTTTGGTTACTGCTCATAATTACACCCATATAATTATAAAGCAAGTACAGTTAAGACATTGTCATCAAGAAAGTATCATTCCACAGAACCCACATTAAGAGTCTTCAGCGTTCCCTCAAGCTGCTTTAATATACAACTGTCAAACAACGGTTCTAGTTGCTGCTTGTTGGAAATGTGGCAGTACAGGTTGTTGCAGTGCTATAAGCCAATTTGCATAAAACCTTCATGACCTTGTTAAAGGTAAAATGTTGAGACAAGCTCCTGCAAGACTGTTGCATTGTGCACAGTAGATTTAAAGCCCTTTCAATCTTACAAAGAATACTGCATATTGTTAAAACTGAAATGTAAAACTCCATTTATGAAAGTGGAAATATCTACAGTTTTAAGAGAAGTACATGCCCTTTATACTTCTGTTACATCCCCTGTGTTGTCCCTGTGAAAGCACTGTTAGTCTTTGAGTCTTGTATGGCATAAAGTTGTAATGAGGATACAGTCTGCAGGTGCTACCTGCCTAGATCCAAATGAATTATTGTAACAGGAAGAAGGGGCCACTTTAGTTGTGTTAGTTTCCAAGCTTCTCTGTTTACTCAGCAGTAGGCTAACCCTTCTATCAACCCCTTTAACTGTTTTCCACAGCACAGTACCTTCTTCAAGGTATTTGTGTGTGTAAATTGCTTTTTCAGATTGGCTGAAAGTGCTGCATATACTTTTATCTGTTGCATTTGTATAGATCAGAGAGATATAGTGAAGATAAACCACATTAGGATGTCTCCTGTGTGAAGGCCTGTCTTTCAGAATCAGGGTGTGATTTGTATAACTGGCCTGAGGACTAGACTAGGAAGGATATGACGTATTTGTGCTATTACAGGATTTGTCAATGTCTGTTATCAAGTGAGTTTAAATCTCTTCAAAAATAGCTTTATATTACAGCTGTCCTTACTTTTTCATCTGACTGACAATGACCAGAGTAGTGTGCCTGTTATCTTCCACAAGTCCAAACTGCTGTGTGCTCCTTTGTTCTGATCTTAGGTAAGTGTGTGAAGGTCCAGAGGAAGCAGGGTTTGATATCAGCCACAGATAGCAGCAACAAGCACTCCCCCAGCAACAAGAAGAGCTTGGTTCCTAGCCCTGTGGCACACCGGCCCTTGAGGGATCGCATCATTCATCTGCTGGCCTTAAAGCCATACAAGAAACCTGAGCTGCTTCTGTGGTTAGAGAGGGAGCGTGCCAGTCCAAAGGACAAGGCTGACCTGACCTCAGTACTGGATGAGGTGAGACATCTGGCACATTGCTTTGTAAACATACTGGGTAAATCCCAATTCCCTTAAGTGCATCCATGTCTCCCTCACTTGCATCGTTTCCTGTAGCATCTTAGTCCCACCCATGTAAGATGCGAGGAGAAGGCACAAGGATAAAACGGAGGAAACATGTTTTTATGGACATGAGACCTCCTTGTCTCCGATCCTTCATCTTAAGAATTCCATCATCTACTGATTTCTGATAAAAGGGCAGCCTATGTCAGCCCATCAAAGACTTCCACAACGGTTGTTCTCTTGTATCTAGCTTATGTCACTTCCAGGCAGCCTCCTTGATCCTCAGAGCACAAATAGGAGCTTTAGAACGTCCTTCAAGACAACGAATCAGAACGACTTCATGGTCAAGTGAGGATCGAGGGACGATCAGTTAAGGGAACTGGAACTTACCCACTGTTGACTAATGATGAAATATCATTACATGGAACAAGAAAATATCAAAATGTTAACTGTGACAAATACAAGTTTAACTGCTTTTAGCGTCACTCGATATCAGGTTAAGCATGGAAACTGCAAACATAAATAATATAATATAATATGATACTAATGAGTATACTGTAGTACTGCTGTAGAGATAAAAGCTCTGCTCTAAAAACGTGATGTCTAAGTTTATTTCAAGCATATTTCCTGTGTTCACAATGTTTAAGTCCCCCACTGCAATCACCAAGTGGAGACTGTGCTGCTGCTGCTGCTGCTGGTAGCTGTAATTAGGGCTGTGCTTTAATTATCTTTGGAAGAGAAGATTCTGTTTTGACAGGAGAGGGGTGGTGCGTCTCCAGTTGCGATCTGATTACTTTCAGAACTAAAAGTGGTTGTTTTGGATAGATTTTCATCAGCACAGTTTAGCTGTATAACTGCAAGGTTAACTGCTTACCAAAGAAACGAGACAGATCTACAGTGTCACAAAAAAAGTCTTGTTTTATTTAAGTATAAGTTGGACTTATGGGTAGATTAACGTGGCTTGGTACTTTTATGGCCCCAGCTGGCCATTTTCCTGTAGTATTCTGTCCTCTTTCTGTTGATCTATTGAAACTGTGAGCCGTGCCATTTCAGGTTGGCAAGCTGAACTCTAAAGACCACAGCTACTCTTTGAAGGATGAGCTCTACAGACATGTCCAGAGAGACTGGCCTGGATATTTAGAAGAGGAAAAGCAACTCATCCACAGACTCCTGATCAGGTGGGTAGTAAGTTAGCTGTAATACTAAAACAATATCTTATGTTTTGTTCTGCTTTGAAATGCATAGGATAAAGTGTTCCGTTTACTTTTTTAGAACAATCTTTCAACATTTTGCTCTGTTGCCCTTAGATTGATGTGCTGATGCCAGTTAGCTTAGCTTACCATAAAGACTAGTAACAGGGTAAAAGAGCACCTCTAAAGCTTAATAATCAACATTTCATGTCTATTTAATCTACACAAAACCAAATTTCAGGGGTGCTGCAATGGGATTTATTTTTTTTACCTTCAGGCAGAGCCAGGCAAGCAGCTTCCCTATTTTCAGTCTTTGTACTAAGCTGAGCTGAGCTAATCACCTGCTGGCTGTAACCCTATAATTACTGTACAGAAAAGAGTCGTATCCATCTGTTTTTATCTAACTCTTGACAAGAAAGCGATTAATCATATTTCCTAAATTGTCAAACTACTACTTTAAAGTTCTTTAAGGACTTCTAGAAGCCCATTTGGGAAAATAATGCAGAAAAAGCAATAGATGGATGTGTTTTGACAGAGCTGGCATTAATAGAGAAAGGCCACTGAATTAATGTGGAAGTCTGCTGTGATCACGCTAAAAGGAGAGCTTCCAAATGACTGCTTCTCTGCACTGATGAATCTCTTAATGGACACATCAAAGCAGAGGAAAATATTCTCTGCACCGTGCTGCCAAACGGCATTAGAATGGAGGGGTTCAGAGTATCAAGACTGAACCTTTCAGGGTGAGCTTCCAGCCTGCATATGCTTCCTATGCTAGCCAGTAAACATGCAGGCCATATGCTTTGTGAGTGTTTTGGAAAAAGCGCAAATCCTGCTGACTGATTGCACAACCCCCTCTATTCACCACCCCTGCTAAGTGTAAAAAGCTTAAAACTGTAGTCATCAAATTGTTTGCCAAGTGTGATAAATACTGTAAACTGCAGATTTCTTTCCTCTACTTTATTCATTTGTTGGAATAGATCTTTTTTATTCTGGCTTTCACTTACTGTCTCATGTTAATATGTATTAGTTCTGAACTCGACTCATACTGACCACATGAATCGACAGGGGGTCTCCTTTTGTAATGTGTCTGTCTGAGGAAGGAGCTGTAGGAAGCAGATTAAAAGAGAAGAGGGTTTGGTCCTACAGAGGTTAAATCTACTGCTATTGTTCTGCTCAGTCTTCTTGGTTGCCTCCTGTTGACTGTATCACCAGACACACAATAACAGGCCAAAATTTGATTAAATGCTTGCGTTTTATAATGTCAATAATTATTTCTTCTATGGAAAAGTCACTGCCTGCCTTTTCTCTGGAAGCTGTGCCCTAGTAAATAATTATTCATCCAACTGCTGTTAAAGTCTGCCAAAGCCAGGTGTATGATTTGCTGTAATGCCGCTCCTGTTTAGCTTTACAGGCCATTTGCTCTGCAGTTACTGTTCAGATAAAAGGCACCGTGTTCTTAATCTTCCTTCAGGAAACTTCAACCTCTCCACAGTAGCCAGATGAAGAGTCCTCAGTCCACCCATTCATTCCACAAAACTCCTGGAGACTCTCCTTCTCAACTCAGTCCTGCCAAGAATCCCCCTGTGGTAATCCTTCACCTGCAATGAATTCTACTTTCTCCTGCTTATCCTTTCTTATAAAACTGAAATAGACCGTTTCCTCTTTTGCAGATACACATTACTTGATTTAAATTTCTGCTTCTTTGTGTAAGGTGAATTCCTTTAAACTAATTATAGCATTAATTGAAGCTAAAGGAATAGTTCAACGTTTTTGGGAAACTTCTATTTGTTTTGTTTGTGTCTTTTGCATTAAATATGTAGCTGGAGCAGGTTAGCTTAACCTAACATATTATTTTCCAAACTAATTCTTGATGGGGCAAGCTGTCAAACAACAGAGGCTTCATGAACATATCAGTCCTTGCTAGGAAATACTTCAGCACATAACCTCCTGTTAAACGAGGACCTGTCATTTTTTTTAAGGTTTTTGTGCAGATTAAAAAACACAAGATATATTATTTTGTGAGATTTAGACGTGCTGGAAGGTGAACTCTTTTTTTTTAAACCTAGTTCCTTTGCTAAACTAACTGCTGCTGATTGTTTGAACAGATTAACTTGTCAAGAAGCAAATACAAAGTAAAAACGTATGCACATTATACAGGCACAACTCATGCAACTTGCACTAGAATATCCAAAACATCAAGGCCAAACAATCACTGTATTCTTCTTTTTTCCCCCCTCTAGAAACGCCCATTACCCCCGGACTCATCCAACTGTCAGTTCCCCAAAAAGCAAAAACTATTAGACCCGTGTTTGCCTCTGCGGTCACCCTCACATGGAGACTATGGCACCAGTGGGGCATGTAGCTCCTCTAGTCATGGAAACTCTAGTGTACAGATCAAAATAGAGCTAGACAAAACCAACAATCATTTCCAAGGGAGTCTAAATTGTCTGTACTCACCACACAAGCTCAGTGGGTCATCTGCTATTCCCAAATTGGAGCGGACAGAGCCAGCTCCTACTGCACCCAGCCCCAAGCCCCCACACAGTGAAACCTCCATTTGCACTGACCAACAGTTGACCAATGGACAGCATAAGAAGAAGAGGTCCAAAAAGCACAGAGACAAGGAACGAGAGCACTTCAAATCAGACTGGATAGAGACCAGTCCAGGCCTGAAGCAAAGCCAAGAAAATCACAAAGGTAAATGGCAATAATACTATAAAGCTGCCCTCTCTCAAATGCCTTGTCACACTTCATATTGTGCTGTCATGAATCTGCTGTATAATATATGCTGGAGCCATGAAGATTATTAGCTTTTACTCTGCAGAAAAGTAAAATCCGCAGGGTTGAGCTATAGTTGCTGCCAGAAACCCACAAAGAGCCAATTCATTTGAAAGCACACAGTGTTGTTAGGATTGTAACACCCTCCAGTCCCCACTCACTGCTCTAGCCTGTTGATGATTGACTGTAGAACAGCTGGGTGACCTACGGTCAAGCAAGTCGGCAGGCAGCGCTGCCTCCTACTCAGGACTGCTGACGTCACTGCTTGCCTTGGATCAGATCTCTTATCAGAGACGGTGACACGATTCCATCAGCCTTGATATGATGGCCACATTATCAAATTTGCATTGGCTGACTGCTTTAACCTTTTTTTCATTGTGTCTGTGTTTTTCCTATCTACAGATGTTGGGGGAGAGAAATGCCCTGTCAATAGAACCTCAATGGAGGAACTGCCTGACTATTTAATGTAAGATTAAATACATATCCTATTCCAGAGTCAGACAGGATTAAAAATTAAATAACTGTCACAACATCATTGAGTTTACACAAGTCAAATGTTGCTGTGCTCTGTCACTGTGAAGTAACAGATGATAGTTTCAGAGTCTAACAAAAAGAATCTGACTTGTCCCAAAAGGGTTAGGTTCAGTTTCAGAACATTCACATAAATAAAGGGAAGTAAAACACAGGTCTAAATGACCTGTCACAAAACCTCACTGAGAATGACTCTGAAAACATATGATCTTAAGTCTAACATTTATACATCTGGTCAACACATCATGCTGGTAAATCAGTGACGTGTCAGGTCCCTCACTCCACCAATCTGCAGTACCATCTACTGGAAGGATTCGGAAATAACTTCGGCTTCTAGATATCACTTCGGCTTTTCACAAACAGCTTCTATTTTCTCTTTTCAGAAAGTACAGCACCATAACAGCACTCGAGCAGCGTCGGCAGTATAAGGACGACTTCAGTGCCGAGTACGATGAATACAGAGCTCTTCATGACCGGATTGGGGCTATCACAGAGATGTTTGTTCAGTTGGGCTCAAAGATCAACACACTCTCCCCAGGAACACAAGAATACAAGGTACTGTCTGGACCAGGCACCCACCTCAGTTGCTCTGTTTATAATAAAACAAAAAAAACACACAACCATATATACTACCACAAGTACAAGAAAGTAAAAATGATTTACATTTTTCTCATTTCAAATTTTCATTTTATTTAACACTTCAAGCAGTATAAGCTGGATCTCATGTAAGAATGGCTCGTATGAACATTTGTTTTTAAAGTGGAACATACAAGGGATTTACTGTACGAGACGTTCACCAGACAAACTTTCCTTTTAGATTTTACTGGCATGAGTATTTTAGGACAACAATTCAGGCTATACAGTTGGGCAAGTGCTCAGAAAATTATGCTTCAGTCAAAGCTGTTATGAAGCTTGCTGTCCAAGGAAACAACCTCAATTAAAGCACTTGACAGTTTAACATCCACTGTAACCAAATTTATTATGTTATATCCCCTCGACCACGTTATACATCGGCCATGAACTTGATTTATCAAGACATTTGGCATTTAAATTAATGTCAATTCATTCTTTCCTTATTTTTGTGACAACCTTGATAGCTGTAGTATTGTATAATCCTCTACGGACACTATTACGTATATTTGTCAGTGTTTTTGTCACATATGAGTGAAATCTACCCACAAATGGAGGGGAAATCTTTGCCTCATAGAAGAATTAGCTAATGACCAATTCTCACAAATGAAAATGAGCAGCTGCTGATGAACAGGTGTCACTCATCAGGTTGAAACAAGATATTTATAACATGTTTGTGCAGTAAAGAGAGTTTGGTGAATCCAATTTGAAAGACTAGAGCAAACCTCTTGGGGAAAAAAAAAGGTTTATAAGTGAAATACAGGAACGTTCTTGCAAGAGACCCATCAGTTGGATTTTGATGTACGTTACTGAAAGCTCACTGGTGCCCTTTTTTTTTTTAATGTATTTATTTATTTTTTGTTTTGTTGTAGAAGTTTCCTGGGTATCGGGAAGAGAAAAAGCGATGCGAGTACCTTCATCAGAAACTCTCACATATCAAAGGCCTGATTACAGATTATGACCGAGCACATGAACTCTCCTAGTAACAGGCCTCTACCCTCAGCAGGGTGTCATATGACTGGACCAAAAGACTCGTAATGGACCTGAAGACTTCCCAGCTAGGTCCTGGAGTCACTATTCACTATACCTCTTCGAGTGTTAATAGAACGGAGGAGCGAGGTTCTTTTTCAAAAGTGGGCTGAGACCACCTACTTGTGATCACATGTTGTTCTTTATCAATATGGTCGCCATCTATTATTATCATCACTGTAATGGCTGGATTTTACTCTGCTGTAAAATAGTCTGACAACACAATGGAAGCCAAATCCATTTTCCTGAAATGCAAAACAGATGTGATCCTCCCTGCATAATTATGTTTTGATTCGATCCTTTATCTTGTCAAAACTAAAAAGTGTTGATTTATATGAAGTATTAACGATGGTACAATCAATCTTAGAGGAAAACAAATGCTACTAAAGTCATTATATTTAATATACAGAGGAATTTATTTGTTGTTTGCCGATATAAAGATAATTGCTGACCTAACACAATCATGTGAATTATTCTTTAGTTATATAATATTACATAATAGCCCTAACAGTGCATCTCTCTTTAGGCCACATGCAAAGTGACAAATTCATTTAATTTAAATTAGACTAAATCTATCATCCACACAAGGCCTACAGCATAGTTCTGCAGGGCTAAGACCTTCCACAGGCTGATCAAGGTATATTAATTAAAAAGTATTACAAGTTTAAAGCATCATATACAGAGCTGTTTAAAAATGTGATGTGTTTTATTCTCAGAATCTGTGGTTGGAGCCAGTTTCTCTGGGCTGTGATCATGACCAATCTTATCGCCAACATCCTTTTTCATTTCTAAGAAATGTTGGAATGCCACAAAACTACTTCTCACAGTACAATAACAGCGGTTTCGAGGTAGCACTTATGCACATTTAGCGTCCTTTTCACCAACATGTAGCCTACAGCACCACAACTTGCCTTTTCACCCTGTAGCGAAAAAACATCAGCTCACATGTCAAGTCTTCTGGTTACAGGTTTACACATTTACAGCACACTGAGGGAACATGCCGCTTTTACGCTGTACGCGCGAATAACTGCCAGTTGCTCTTTGAAACATAACCGTTCACTACATGCAGTTTTAAAAACTTTCAGAGTATTTATCTTGGTGGTCAACCTAGTCCACACATTTTGATTTACTATGACTGCTTGATGTTCAATATGGAATTTAACAGATTTAACAATTTACTTCAGTGAGTGTTATGGTTTGTTGTTATCAACAAACTGGACTGTTTAATTTTCAGCTTTGTGTGTGAACCATGGAGAGAATGGCACTGTGAGACCTATAGGGGGTGCTAGTGGGGATCACTATGCTTTTTGTTCTGAATAACCACGACCTGTTAAATTAGCTGCAACCTGAAGCAGAAAATAGTGATCAGATTCCAGTGTTCTCATCAGTGTAGATGCATTCACAACTGTTGTCTTAATGATGGCCTAATAAGGGAGAATGAAGCTGATATTTGCCTTAACATGTACTGTACATCAGACATTTCAAACATTGTGGTACCCCTGTTCTGAAATCTTCTTGGTTTAACTTGCACAGCTCAAAGCATTTCTGTAAATGTCTTTTAGTCTAAAGGGAGGTTCAATTTCTTCATAGTTGTTGTGCAGCAGTTGTCTAAACCCCCCCACCCCCACCCCTGTACATCCTAATCATTTTGTTTTAGCTTCATTTGTCTCAATCTGTCATGAATTCCTTTACAGTTTATGATAATCATTAACTATGAAGGATTTTAATTCACTGTCCAACTTTATGAAGCACCACTATCAAAAGAAAGAATTGCTGCAGAAATCGATACAAAATAATGTGCTTTGCTTCTGCAAACACTCAGCGAGCTGTCACGCGTTTAGCCGCTCTTTTGCAGGTAAAACAAGTTTCTACATTTGATACTCTGTGCATTTGAAGGATTTGAGACTAGCAACAGTTGCTTTGTCTTGTATATGGAAGTTTTCAACAAAAGGAATTTTTATTAAATCTGACTTGGAAAAATGATCATTGTAAGCCCAGATGATGTTTACTACTTCTAAGCATTAAATATAACTAGGTGTGAATTCCTAAAGTTCCAGACCTACAGAAATGTTTTCATTACTCTGGCTGTTTGGATTTCTTCTCAGGACCAATATTTTATTACCCTTTAGTCAATATGCAATTTGATGATGTGCTACATACAGTCGCTCTACCCAGCGTTTGATCAGTCAAAATGACTGAAAAAACTATTTTTTTTTTTTATTCAGGTACTAGATAATGGAAATCAATGAGTCATGGTTCAGTTGTAAAGACAGTGCCTGCTTTGATATACAGAATACTTTTGTTTCATCTAATTTGTCTTCAATCAAATAAGTTCTAAAACATTTTAATAACAGAAATGAAAGTAATAATTGACAATTAATTACTACTAAAGTAATACTGACCAATTGTAAGCAAACATGTTTTTGGGAAATCAGACCCTTGATGAAAAGGGCTTTTCAAGTTCTAACAGAGACTTTATTTTATTTTTAAACTGTTGCAGGAGTTTAATATTAAAGGTGCCTTTTCATTCGGAAAGCAGAGCTACTCTGCGTGCAACTATCATCGGTATTCAGCCTTTTTTGCATTATAAAAAGGCTTTCCAGGACACCAATTTAATGGCATCTAGCCACCGACATGGCCTGCAGTTTGCAAATGTTTTCCACAACAAAACTTCCACATCATCACTTAATTGCTTTGTTGATACTGGAAAAACACCACCTCCCATTAAATGTGAAATTTAAATGAAACATTTTATCAACTCTAAATCACTGTAATTGATCTACCTAAGTGAACAAATGTATTTATTGCATGTATGTTTGCGCTCTCTCATGAGGTTCAACTCTGCATAGTTCATTCATTCTTTTCACATCAAAACACACTGTGGTGAAAGGGAAATGGAATCTATTTTTGCAGTTTTTGATGGTGGATGCTTTATCACAATGGTGTTCTCTTGACAAAAGCTTTCAGAAAAAAAAAAAAAATTGCTGTCTCAATAAAAATGAAAAATAAAGCTCTTTTCAATTCAACATGGTGTCATGTTTCCACAAGAGGGCAGTGTCGCCCAATGTCTAAACTAATCCACAAATGTTTCCAGCTATTCAGATCATCATTAAAACACAAGCATGGAGCTTGTAAACACATAATTCTTAATCTTTTTTATGTTTATTATCTAGTGCTTTATAAACCTCCCAATCAAATGGAGTGTAAACATTTAATCATTAATCATCTGAACAGGATGACACATGATGATAAATGTCACCTGCAGCAATGAGGAACTCATGTTCTCATATCATTGATTAGAGGAATTTGGCATTTCTAGTTTTTCCTTGACCATCTTTATTACCCGTCTCACAGTGACCAAAAAACATTCATACATGTGCATGCCATTCCTAGACTATATGCTAAGAATTCAATTTAAACATTTATTTAAAGCAGTAGGTCTAACCTGATCTGCATAGTTGCTTTTTGTACATTTCTTCATTTTTGTATCTTTTCTGAGCTGCTTCTTTAACAAACAGTGTATTCTGTTGAGGTGAGATAATTCCCTGAGCTCTATAAACTACTTTTTTTATCCACTTGAAGCACTTTTGGTTAGCAGCTTAATGTTTGCCTGCATCCAAGAGTCGCCTGTAGCAGCATTTCATCACAAAACAGTGTGCAGAGCAGTCTTAAAGTGATCACACCACCAAGATTAGGACCTTAACGCTTTTCTAAAATATAGGTACAAAAATAGACAAGCAGCACAAGTGTGCATCAACAAGTACAATAGTTTCAACATTGCCTGTGGTATAGGTGTTTTGTGTGGCATCCTTTATTTATCCTTGGATGGTATAAACTGAAAAAATACAAATGCCATAAAAATGTGATTTGATGTCTTTCAAAATAGTGTTTTAAATGTAATTTTAAAAAAATCTGTTGAAAAACAAAAATCCAGTTATTCCATAAATGTGCACGTCCTTCAGTTGTTGCTGGCTTTAGTTGGGTATAAGCCATAAATGCCATTCTTACAAAGACATTACAAAATGTGTTTGCGATTTGTTGCGGGCTCATTATGCACCAGACTAACCCCAAAGCACCATTACAGTTCCAACTAAATAAGGTAAAATCATTTTAAAGCTTGTCATGAATAACATTTTTATGCATCTATAAGGTTTATCTCCACCCTTGTTATCACGGTTTGATTCTTAAGTTGGGTTGTGCGAGGGTAATGATCCCGATCACTGAGGATATCAGGCCACAAAATCCCACCACTCCTGCATTAGAGTGGTATATACCCAACCTGTCCAAGGGAATGAAAAGATCACATATGTTTTTCAGTGTGTCCAAGGCAACAGCCGGATGTGATCTTAGACTTTCCAACAGCAAGAAGAGAAAAGCATCCAACTGAGGAATAACAACTTCTGCTACTTCAGGACTTTCACTCAGATGCTGATCCCTTTTCTGTCTAAAGTGTTCATCTCTTGCTCTCTTCCACATTAACTGGGAGACTACATAAACATCTCTGGTCAAATTCATAACTAGCGAGAGGAGGTAGCACCGAGAGGCATTTAGGCTCCAGCGGTCCTTGTCAATATCACGGATAAGACCGGCACTTCTGGCCCAAAGTACATTGTCACAGATAAAGTAGAGGGCGCGGTTGATGTTGGCTGCAGTGAGGCACAGGCACAGCACTAGGTCAGAGAGCTGCATGGTTCGCCTAGCAGCCTCAATGGAATTTACTGTGCTTCCCAGCCTGAACACTGACAAAGGAGGAAGAAAGAAAGGCCATTAGAACAGCATTCAATTTAATATGAAATGGCAGGTCAACATTTCATTGTAGCAGTACTCTATGAACAGCAGGATACAGTTAAGCTGCATTTAAACCAAACTACGGTATCTTTCATCTTATTACATTTGTCCCTCCGAGGCAAAAGAGTCATGGGCTCCATTCACTCAGTGGGTTTACTGTAATCACACCTATTGTGGCAGAGGTTTTTCCTTGTAAGCATTGGGTTTCTACACAAGCAAATCCTGTTCTTAAGAGCTCAGTTTGTGAGACCTGCATGTCTCCTTCACCCTCAGGCACGTCAGCTGAAATTCAATAGAGCCCCATGTCTCTACTGCCACAGCACCAAGAGCTTTATTGCCTGACCCTGTTCTAAGGCAGTGCCTTATCATTCATTCCCATGTGGTACTTATGTAAAGTTAGTTTAAATTCATATTAAAACCACAAAGAGTTAAAAGTTCAAAGCGTTTCAAAGTTCACCCCCCATTACAGTTCATACTGTATGAACTGTCTAGGCCAGTCATGGGGTCATGAGTGTTACACGCACAGTTGGTGCAGGTCTAAATGTCAACAGTGCAGTCACCCATATATTGTCCATCTCCCTCACAGTGGGAAAAAGGTAAAAGCTTCACACTTCAACACAGGCACAAACATCCATAAACCAGGTCCAAGCCCATAGGCTGAAGGCAGGTGGATGCAAAATTGTCAATACATGTTTTTAAAAAAAGTGCAATTTATAATACAACTTTAAAGAGCACAAACAACAGCAACTCTCTTTAAACAACATGTTGATGTTCATGTCTCACAAAAACATTTGCCTAGACACAAAACTGTACTCCCTGGCATTTAATAGTGTGGTTTACAACAACAACTACAAATGATGGAAAGAGAAAACAAAGAAAACTAGTAGCGCAAACTGTAAATGCAGGTTGTAAAACCAGATAGCTAACGATTAGTCAATAGACAAATTAACATTTACGATTGATTGTTAGTTGTCAGAAAGTAAAATTGTGTTTCAGTCACTTATACTGTAGGTATTAAAGATGTCATCTTGGGCTCTGGGAAAATTTAAGACCTCTTTTCCCACTTTATAGACTGATGATTTATTAAAATAATGATCATGAGAATGAAATTAAAGCCAATGCTTTTTTTTTTTTTTTTACACAGCAGTTATTTAAGGAATCCTCGTTTTAATATTTGAAACTTCACTCAACCACGGTAGGATTAAAATAATAAAATCCGACATTTGGACTTGGAGGCTTAAGATAATGTTTTATGAACTATTCTTGGGCACAAGGATCGGACAAACATGACTTTTGTTAAGGGCGTAGCAAGACGTTAAGTAAAGGCCTCTTAAATTTGTAGTATTTCGTCTTAGAACTAAACGCAGTGTACTGCACATGCTGAACCTTACAGTAATCTAGAGTACAATCTTAGTTGGGATACACTTTAACTGTGATTATTTGTATTACATTAAACTATTTCCCATTCTGACTGGGGCCTCCTATGAAGGTCCACGGGATAACCAAAGCCCACCTTAACTGCTGCCCCTGTATAGTTACTCACGTTTTCGTCCAGCACTCATGTTGGCTTCCAGACTTTTAAGTTTTGCCACAACTTCCTTTCTTTTCGAGTTGTTTCGGAGTAGATATACCGACAGGGTACATGCATATTGGACTGCTCTGAAAAAAGGACAGAAAAGGAACAAAGTTGGCAATCAAGGAAGCGCTCACGCGTGTTTTGCCTCTAAGTAACTTTACTTCAATTTTCAACTAATGAAATGAACAAGTAGCATTTAAGACCAAGAGTCACAAATACTCTAAATTACCTGAATATGCGATCTCTTCCTTGACTTTGACTTGTGAATTTTACTGCTGCGTCCATGGTTTTGTCGACCACGAACAGCTGGTCCTAGTTAGCTAGGTAAAGTGACAGCAAAGGTGAACCCTCGTTAAACAGCGGACCCTGAGATACGTTAACCTCGCTAAATCCATCTACTGTTGCCGACTAAAACTCAGACAGATGCTCTAAATTAGGAAACTTCATACATGGTCACACAAAAGCTGACTTAAAGGTCCCGAGCAGTTTTATTTGATACATGACAACTGGTCAACATTAACTTGTTTCACTCCGGACAGCTACACAAACGCACCAAAAGCCGGTCTGATTTTTTCGACGTACCAGCAGTAATGGCTATTTGGTATCTGCAAAATTGCAAGCATTTTATAATGTAACTTAATATGTATTTAATTATCTAATATACACATATATGTATGTATGTTCAAATGTCAGCCGACTATATTTGCATTTAATACAAAGATCCTGAAAATGAACCAGGAGTTTAGAAAAGTTTTGGTATTGTCAGCAGCACAGAGCATTTGGATACCATAGCCTATAAAATGAAAATTGGTTAAACATCATACTTAAAGTATAGTTAAATTAATATAAATGTGTTAAATTGTAACGATGCCCATGAGTCTTATAGCTGCTGTTTCTATGGAGAAAAAGCTAGCCAAAGGCATGACTGAGACCCTGGATCGACTGAAATAACCTTTGCGAGTGAATGAGAAAATAAAATCAGTCATGTTTAAATATCAGTGCATGGAAGGCAAGACCTAACATCATTCAGACCCCTGATGTGTCCATTACCTCTGTGATACAGCTACTGCTATTTGCAGTTCTGCTGGTATAGCAACCATACCTTTGCTTGACGTATTATTAAGATCGACAGGGCCATAAATATCTTTTTCCTTTCTGTTTAGCAGTGCTCCATCACATCCACTTGTCAACCGGCTATAGCTGCAGGCACACAATATTTTGTCAGAAATTTTCAAGTTAAACATTACAGTCCTCTTTCAGAAAAGTATTTCATCTGGAATGTCCTTTCATTACAAATCTTCCAAAAAGTATAAGATGAAAATCCACATATATGCCATCATAGTTTACTTTTCACATAATTTTCCAATAAATAAATTCTTCTTATCTCAACTCATCAGTGGGTGTACACATATTAGTGTCATGTATCCTTCCACCCTCCAGCATATTCAAATAATTCAATAACATAACCTATTTTAATAACGCACAATGGACCAATTTTTTATTATGAACACATACCATAGTCTCTGTCTTATCTTCATTTCTTAATAAGAAAGTGTTCTCAAGAGAGCAGGCAGAACCTCTAGGAAAATTTCACTGTGCCATAAAAGCACAGACTAGCCTGTAACTTCCAAAGCAGCTGAGTACATGTGTTTGTTATATCATAAAAAGTAGAGTTTGAGCCACAGTAGAATTACTGATTTTAGAATGCATAAACAAGCTCAGGAAAATACATGAAAAGGCTCATTCCAAAACTCACCATATCTCTGCCTAGGTAAATTTTCAGTTTAAGACATTATGAAAGGGTTTATGAGGGTCTAGCAAAGGAAAAATAGGAACAAGAATTTTTGTCAACCATTTTAGTGATGCCTCTGTTATATTCACTAATTATAACTTAATAAACATGTTCCTTAAAACTACCTTTATTTTGTACATTGACATTTGCTCTAATTGTGTTGATTGCATTGTCAGTTATATAGTTTTAAATAGCAACTAGTGTGTTACATGGGTGCAATGACTCATATGTATTAGCACACTGTATGTTCATGTATGAGTCCAAGCTTACATATGAGGCACATTTTAAAACAACAGATGTCAATTAATGTCCAGGACCAAAACCAAGAATACCGAAACCAACAAAACTAAAGATACAGCACATACACATAAACACACAGTAATGCATCTACAAGCATGTGTCATACAGACTTCAAGGCCAAAGAGGAAAAAAAGGATGAAACTATTTTTAAAAAGTGTCAGTGATGGGAGCAGATCTGATATAATGTATGAGAATATAGGGGGTAAAGCTTCAAGCACCAGACCTCCCTCTAGCGTCAACCTCAGCAAGCTAGCAGGTGTTTTTTAAAGGACCTGAGGAGCCTTGGGGTTGAGAATGAACGTGGGAGTTCAGCTATTTAAGTAGGATCCAGTCCATTCTAAGCCTTTCACATAAGCCTCAGAAAAATAAAGTCAATATGGAGCAAAAAATAAAGTTAAGTGCGTGTACTGGGCTGATATTGTCTGAGCCTGCCAAAAGCCAAAGAGCAGTTTTTGTACATGTTATTTTAATCCTTGAATTTTTGAGACAGAAAGAGGGCTTTGTCAATGGCTGCAGTTTTTTGGAAACGATTCCTATGGAAACCACTTACGTTATACTAAGGCATGCACTAAAACCATGCACTTTTATGAAATATAACACTTTCCAGTAGTTCAAGGCTTCTTTCTGCAAAAGCAGCCATTTTATCATTTATTTCTAAAGTCTTCAAAACACTGTAACCTTGTCCATAAATGGTGAAGCTCCTTCATTACATAGAAGAATGGTACAGTGCAGTACACCATTATTCATTCAGCATCCATTAGCAATACGGCCTATCCTGTGGAGGCCTGTGTGCGAGCAGGAGCCAATCCCAGCTGACACTGTGTGAGAGCTGGGCTACAGCACCATATTATATAAATTCATATTTTAAAGTGTCTTATAACTGTGCCCAGGACCATGTATAAATAGTGTAATATGAACCACACATTGTAGATTTATGTATCACATACACGGGCTGATGTTATAATGTGCATTCTTCTGGTCAACACTGTTTTTAAGACATTTTGAAGTGGTGCTAGTGATTTTTTTCTGTTTTATCTGTGTTGTTACAGTTTGGTGAATACTGGTTGAAGTGGTGAAGAGACAGATTAATTAATACCCTGATCATGCTCCTAACCGATGCATTGATTGATGTACAGTATTGATTAAACAAAAACGTTTAGCAGGCTGACATTATTTAGTAGACTGAAACTCATCTCCTGTTAAACTGTATATTACAAAACAACATTTTGCAGCCGTGGAAAGGTATTGACATGTAATTTGACTTGTAGCTCAAGTTTATTTTTACAATTTGTCTCTCATATTACCTAGTGTAAAGGGTGACGTGACAAACACAGCAAAAAGAGAAATTATCTCAGCAGTCCACAGTGACAACACACACTCCTCAGTTAACAGTCAGAACCACCACCCCAGAACATTCCATTACAAGGGTAAGGATTATTCTTCATTATTTAAAAAAAAGAAAATTATCATTTTATATTTATAGTAGAATTAACTGAAAGTACTGAAAGGGCATCTTAAAAATTACATTATATCAGCTCAGCCACTTGATTAAACTTCAAATATCAGTGCCTCTGCATTGCAGCTTCAATAAATTACACTGTGCAAGTTGTGTCTGAATGATTTGAAGTGTGCATTTCTTTTGCAACACTCTGCTTGTATTTAGATTTGATGATATTAGATGGCACAAGGCACCGTTTGATGTTTTTGTGTTGCGACCTACGAAAAAGGAGCTTAGTTTCTTTTTCTTTTGAGCTTTTGGGCTCATTTAAACTTCTGTATTGTCTGCTGCTTTGTAGTGTTCTTTCTGTATTTTTGTTAGTGCCTTCATCTTCTTCAGGTCAACTTGGGAGAGTCAGACAACACTGCACATTGTACTTTAATATATCTGCTGTGCAGTGTGTGGCAAAGTTTGAGAAGTCTTGCATGCAGTATCTAGTTCATAAGAGGTTGCATGAATTGAAGATGTACCCTTAAAATTAAAAAAGTGAGCAAATACTTAAATAAAATCACAGCCTGAATCACAAATGCAGCAATTGAGAGAGGCCGGAGATTTGCCACACTTTCCTAAATGAAACCCTTGTGTTACTTTTCAGCACTAGAAGTGGAGTTAGAAAGTGCTGCAACCACAGGCTCCATTTTTGTATTCACCACAGCCCATTGATTCTTCTCAGCACATTTACCCTGAGAGCCACTGAGAAGGAGAGGTTCAGCTCAATTGAGTGTCAAGTCCATTTTTATTTGTGTTTGTTGTCACAAACCTATCTTGGTCCTGTTGTTTTCCAGATTTTTCTGTGAACTGTCATTATCCACCCAAACTCCAGCTGTCCCCGAGACTTTCCCTCTGGCTCTGCCCTACACCCCACTAACCTGTTTTTGAATTTAGCTTTTTGCATCTCACATGGATACGTTTCTTTTTATAAAACATGTTATTATCAATACTATGATTGCTCCTCTTACTGCTACATTGAAGTGGAACATTTTGCCTTGTATCTGGTACCCCCCACATAACCAGACTTAAGCTCTTTGATTTGGTTTCATCCATAAATATTACATCTTACAGCAAGACCATCTAAACTAGAGTGAATTTCTGAAGCAATTTCCCTGTGGCAGGCAAGACATCTTCCGCTAGGTCTTGGTTTAATAGTGTCACTCAGGAATAAAGCACTCTTGAGGTGGATCTGCAGAGATTAATGTCCTCGTTAATGGCTCTAGCATGGCTTATGTGCTCCAGTTCAGTGATGAGATTTCTCTGTGAATATCTCAGTATGTACCTGTCATCTGCATCTCATCAGTTCTTCCAGATTCAGCAACCATGCCCTGCTCACTGTGAGAAAGGTGCACCAGATTTTTAATTTGTCTCAACAGTAAGGGAGGAGATTAATTACAGTACAACCACTCTCATGATAAACTTCTCTGTGTATGCAAGTAAATAAAAAAATTACGATTGCACCCCACCAATTTCAGCAAAGTCATACTGCTCTGAGGTACAGCATGACAAGTTTTAGTGTGTAATCAAAATTAAAGTGTATTCAACAAGTTTGGGTAGATTTAAATGTGGGGCATACTGTAATAAAACAAATGAAAGTTCATTTTCACACAAAATAACAGTTTATTATCCAGATAAGAAGGAATCTATGTGAAGAAAATGTCAAGAGGCAGGCAGCTGTGCATAATTATGTCACAAAACTGGCTCTACAGATTAACAGATGACAAGCAATACAAACACAAAGTATGAACAATAATCCATGATTAATCCACTTTTATCTAAAAATGTCATCAGCTTCAGAAAAATCATTACTTAATTTATTTTTATTTATGCAGATATAATAATAATCACCTTTATTTGGCTAAGTATGTTACACACAAGGAATTTGTTTCCGGTACAGGACAGAGGCAGCCATCTGCGGCGCCAACTCAAACGATGGCTCTAACCATTGGGGGCAACTTGGGGGTTCAGTGTCTTGCCCAAGGACACTTCAACATGTGGA